AGCGAATCATGGCATTTGTGTGTGCGCACATGTGCGTGTGTGCACACAGTGGAGCTGTGGACAGGTATGACAGGCTGACCTCCACATGTTACCGGAGAGAGTGTGCGGCCCAGTGTTACCTGTCATAACACGGGCTGCCTGGAGCCCCGGAGCACCAGCCTGACCAGGCCACTGGGCAGCCAGAAATAATAGAGACTGGCAAGAGGGCAACGAGGGGTCACACGGAGGGAGAGGAGGAGAGGGGGGACAGGGACATATGACAGGAGGACTGGTGACAGGATGAAAGCAGGAGAGTGAGAAGAAGAGAGGAAAGAGAAATGTATTTAAGTGAGGAGAGTGGTGAGGATAATGATGTGGGAGCAAGTGGGTCAATCAAGGAGCAAAGAGAGAAAGATAAAAGAGAGCAAAGTAAGGAGGTGGCTGCTGTTCTCCCTGCATATTACCGTCTAAAGCCTCTGAAGAGAGCTAAAAATTATGCGTAAAGGCAGTGAGGGAAGAGAAGAGGAAATCTGACTTGTGCTTCCTGAGTTCTCAGCATCCGTCCGACACCCTCAGACCAGAAAAATAAGCCTCAGTTTTAACAAAACAGACCACCTCGCATCACTTCCCATTTGTTTTGAAGCCCAGTTTATCTTTGCGAGTATGATGTTGGAGCATTCTCGAGGTGCCGCCACTCGCCTGCAGAGATGGAACAGCTGAATTCACTTAGGCAGGCTTGGCCAGCAATTAAAGTGCTGGATTAAGAGTGATTGCATTTTGTGTCCTGAGGAGGCGCTGCCTGCCATCTTGAGAGGTCTCATTAACATGGCTGCCATGGGCTGTGCTGAGCACTGCCACAGGCAGTTAAAAAATAATGGAGACATTATCAACCTTAATGTCTTGTACCTGGAGTGGAGAAGATTTTATAATCACTATTGTGATGGGCCACAGGCTGCCAGTTGTGCGAAAGGGAAAGGTTGGATGAAGATAACCCTTTTTCTGACCAGACCCCTGTGTGTTTTTTTGATCAGCCACTACACGTGGGGAGTCTGAGCAGCTGGATTTCATTAATTGAGTGCTGGCAGCGTTCTGCTCTGGCGGCAGGGGTGAGTCACACTGGTGGGATTGGTCTCTCTCTCCCTGATATCATCTTCCAACCATAACTACAAATAATTATTCACTCAAATCCATTACCGGGGGTCAGTCAAGTTCCCCAATCAGTTCTAAAGTCCAATTACTGGCGCCAAGGCTGTATTCGCGCTTTCCTACAGATGAAGGCCTGGCCCACAGGCTGCCCAGTAAATTACACATAGCAAACAGTGGAGTGTGCATGAGAGCGAGCCTCCTCAGGTGGGTAATAAAGCAGAGGTACATACTGGTCTCCCTGGGGCATTCTGACCGTACCATCTAGCAGACTTCACCAGGTTAAATAGAATTAGCCCATGCAATGAGACACACTTTGAATACCAACCACGTCTCATCACTGTACAGGCTAGAGAGCATGCAGCATGCACAGCGCAGCCTGGTATTAACATCCATCTCAGCAGTTGATATAATAAGACATGTCGCCATAAGGGTCTCCTTATAAAGAGGCTGCACAGTGACCCATCAGAGCAACATAATGAGTGGGGTGTTACATCTAGTGCACACACACACACACACACACTCAGGGCTTCACTCCAGCTCTCCAACCCCATTAGCGTGTGGTTCCTTGTATCGTTTTGCAGCCGTCTTGAAAGTAAGCCCTGAGCCTGGAGGAAATGCTTCTCACACACTCATCTGTCACTACAGAGAGACAGCAGTGCAGCCAGCCGAGTCGGAGCGGCCGGGTGGCCAACAAGGCAGGCAGTGTGTGTGGGGGGTGCATGTGTGCCAGTGTGTGTGACAGGGGATGGATGACTTGTATGTATGTACAAGATATGTAGGAGGTGCGCAGGACGGGTGTTCGTGTATGTGTGTGGTGACACAGTGTGTGCTTGTGTGCGAGGAGTGGAGCAAACATAGCAAGGATGGGGTGAGGCTTTGTGACCAACAGCCCATGACCAGTTGTCACACTACACACATACATACACACAGCTCCCAAATCCGCCTGGTAGGAGGGCCAGTCTGACATATCCCCCAGTGTCAGGCTTCCCTCACGCTCTGATCTGACCAGAAAACAGCCAAACTCTGACGCTGACACAACCATCAAGAGGAAAAACATTGATGTCTGTCTGCGTGACGATATGTCTGTTTTGTTTACTGACATTTGTAGCAGCCCCATTGTTCAGTGCTCATTCCAGACTTTGAGGTTTTGAAGGGGAAAAGCTGAGTTTTTGGACTGCAATTACATCAGTATGAGGGCACCGTTTTGCTTTGTCCTGAGCCAGGAAAGCATTTTGACTTGAGACTGCTGACACAAAGAAAGACTGTCAATGTAAGCCCCTCCATTAAACATGAAAAAACCTCATCAAAGAGCCAGTCTCTGTCCTCTGCTTACATTCAAGAGATCCAGCGAAATGCTAAACACATGTGGATGGGCCATGTGTTTAGGCTAAAATGGCCGAACACGATCCAGCAGCATTTGAGTTAATCTTCCTTAGTGAAACCGCATGGTGTTGTTTACACTGGAGACAACTGTGTGTACGTATATGCGTGTGTGTGTGTGTGTGTGTGTGTGTGTGTGTGTGTGGAGAGCGTCCAGAGCTGCAGAACTCACTGTTCCCTTTTGCAAAGCCAGAGCAGTTACAGTGTGTATGTGTTTGTGTCAGCATGATGGAGGAGAAGGGTGTTACTCAGACCTAATGAATCCATCTGCATTCAAGGGGCATTCTTCCTCTCGTACGCAGTCGGGAGCAAACAAGCAGCGACCTGGGAGCCAGTCCAGCGGTCGGGGGGCTCAGTCTCAGTGTTCCAAAGCAGACAGAGCAAGGACAAGCATGGATTAGTATTGAATACACCCGATTTTTTTCCCCCCTTGAAAAATAGGCTATTTTCAAAGAGAGGGTTGAGGTTGAAAGCTGTACAGTCACACAGTCAACCCTCCTGTACTGTACTGTACTAAGCTTTGCTCCTTTCTGTTTTTTCAGCAAGGACTGAGAGTAGCTGAGGAGGGTTCGGTACTGAGGGCGAGGACTACAGTACAGCCTGTGCTCCAGGAGAGTGGCAGCTGCTGATGTCCTCACCTCCGAGTGACCTGGCACCCTAGGCAACCTCAATGAAGAATGGATGGAGGGCAGGAGGCGGGGGCATTATGAGGGGGAGGGTGGTTGGCACTGAGGGATCAGTCATTAGGATGATGAATTCAGAGCTGAGTGGAATTAGGGAGACCTCTAGTGGTCGAAGAAAGTAAGAACTCACATCTACAGACAGCACACATTCTGAACATCATGAGCACTGTACGTACTGTGAATAAGTCCAATCATTAGTCTGCTGGTGACCTTGAGAGAGTTTTTCACACCTTTATTTCATCCCCTCTTAACTTTTTTTTCTTTTTTAAACTCTCTATAATCTGTATTTAATAAAATGGCACCAAATTGTCTGTAGATGCAAGTGACATTAGGATCCATACAGTGGAGTTATATTACTGATATTGTGCAGAAAAAAAGTTCAAAAAGTTAAGGACCATAAATCTAATATTTAGAATTTTGAATCTGTATTTTAATTTAATTTTGGAGAAATACCTTCTTCCTCAGCCTTAAAATTTCAAATTTTCCAAGAACTGAGCTCCTCAGCTGTTGCATGAAGAACGCTCTGTATGAGTGAAGCACCAGCAGGTTTAACAGAAAGAGCTCCACCTACAGTTCTTCAACTTCATCATGTGATCTTCACATCATAAAATGTTGGCTACAAAAACCTAAACATCTTTTTAAACTGGCTTTCAACTAACTTGAATTGTTTCATGTATCCAGGATTATATATATATATATATTTTTTTTTTTTTTACTTATTTCATCTATTTTACTGTTTATTGTATTTTTATATTACTGTCTTCTTTGTTCTTTGTCTAAGCACTTTTAAATTCAATTAAGAAAAAGGTTTTACAGATTATTATTATTATTGTTACAATTAATATTATTAATATGATGCAGTCCAATACAATAACACCTAAAGATTGCGTCATAAAATTACTATATTGTTAAATCAACACCTTTCACAGTTTCCTTAAAAACTGATGATATGCTTCACAAAGGTTGTATTTTGTGGCATTGCACTGACTTGCATTATATTGTACTTGATGTTCTTTTGTAAATTCCCTTTATTTTGGTAAGGTGCTGACAGAATGGAAGAACACCAAAAAAAGAGTCTCACTGATAACTCCTAAAAAAAAATTGACTGATCAAATAATCAATCAACTTTGATAAACGATTTATAATTTAGGTTGTTTATCAAGGAAAAATAGCAAATATTTTTGTAGTCACGAATGTGAAGACTTGCTGCTGTTCTCCATTTCTAAATCACTGTATACTGAATGTCTGAGTTTTGGACAAATGCAAGCAATTTTTTTTTAATAGACTTATTGATTGAATTTACATGAATCAGTTGCGGTTGTAGTTCTCACAGGTATTGTGTGCAGAACACCGTTGTGATGACTCTGAAGTTTGTGTGGAAAATACCTGTCGTGTAGATTTTACAAGCATATGCTACTGACACTGAGTCTACAGCTTTATCCTGAATACAGCAGCAAGTCTGTTTAAAATTAATAAAGTAGCCACAGTGAAGTCGTGAGTATGTGACTTCTCTTTGTCTTTTGATCTCTGGTGGTGTCCAGGAGTGCAGTGCATTATGAAGGTACTTCTAAAAATATTAAAGTGTGTTTCGCCTGAATTACAAGTAACTGAGCAGCTGACTCATTCAGGGGATACCTTGCACTGACATTTCTGGCTCCAGAGTGCAGAAAACATTTCATTACATCTTTGACAAATCTCAGGACTAATATTCATAGAGGTTACATTAATCAGTACCCCCTTCTTTTTCATACCATGAGCAAACACAAGGAGAGAGGAATCTTAGCCAACTGTACTGACAGATTTAATGTTATTCACTTATCCATTTAAGATTCACAGCATAATCAGCATCTTGAAAGTGCAGTTGTCCAAGAGAATTTGTGTTTGTTATTGGAGCGAAGTCCACAGCAGTTCATCAAGAGAACTGACTGTACAATCCCGCTGCTCTAAACCTTATCCGTTCTTCAAAACTTTTCCTTTGCGGTTATAAATTGTAAATCAATCTATGGGCAAGAGTGCCAGTGGCAGTGAATTGTTTACCACGTATCATACTCTCACTACAGTATTGGTCATGTCAGTATTTCTGGCCGGAAAAACAAGTGACAGCTTCTTCTAAAGACACACTTTGTAAAAGTGGTCAGTATTGTGCAGGCTGTTTTCCAAGTGTAATAACATGGCCTTTACAATCGTCCGTATGTTTCGTACTGATTTCATTAAAACTGTTCATGAGGGCTTTAGTGTTCTAGTCCAAGAAGACAGTCTCAGTATCTTCTTTACATTAGAAAACATCAGAAAAAACGGATGATGGCAGAACTCTTTTACATCGTTTCCCTCCACTGTCCATATGTGAATATGTCTTGAAGCCGAAGGTGAGACATGAAAACTGTCTGCTCAGTCAGGCCTCTCCTGATTTGGATTAAAGCAAGATGAAACTGAGTCTCTGTGGAAGGGGTGACTTCTGCCTCACTTATTTTAAATTTCAAATTAAGTGTAAAAACAGCAAGGCTGCTTCTTTTTGTGCAAACCACAGAGTCAAGGTCGCATATTCTCACTCTGTCCTAGTGTTTTTTGGCACCAAGTGGCCCTAATGAACCGTAAAACATCCATCCAGTCCCAGCGTTCACTATGAAGATGATGACGAGAAGCCTTTCAGAAGCAGGTCAGCAGCCAGGCCTGGAGAGATAGCCCCGTTGGTGACCTTCTCCTCAAGTTGGGGTAGAGCCTCTCTGACACTGGGGTGATTTTGGAAATGACAGAGGACGGTCTCCTGGATCAGACTCCACATCCAAACTTTTTGCTGGGCCCTCCGTCGGCCCTGCAGTTCACCGCTGGCTAACATGGCGTCCCGGTATGACTCCATCTTGGCCCAGACCTCTGGGATGCCCTCACTGTTGTGAGAGGAGGCACGGATCACCTGAGGAGGGAGTTAGGGGGAGGGGGGGGTGCAGGATGCACGTGTGAATTTAAAGCATCTCTTTTTCCAACAAGCAGGTGGTAGTCTGGACAATGACTGTTCAGCCTAAAGATGTCAACAAACGCCCAGCAAACTGCCCTCTGCACTTTCTTCAGTATGGAAACTTTCAAATACGGACTTATGTCTCATATTCAAGATTCTGTATGGAATAGCACGTCCTTCTTTGAGCCTCTTTGTTAAACTCATGAACAGTACTGACAAAGGTATTCATCTGAGGCGACTCTATAGCAGCAGTCAGATGCAGCAAATACAAAAAACTGTCCTAGTAGTCAATTAGTTGAGACACTAACATAGAACTACAATGTCCCCAGTCTGGTTACAGCCGAGGATCCTCGTTGCTCACCATACCCTCTTTGTGTAAAAAGAAAAAGGCCAAAATCTACTCAGATACGTTTTCATGAATGATGTGATGTGTTTGTAGATCAACTCCAAATCGTCTGTAACTGTTTTAATTCTCATTTGAAAGGTTAGTTTAGGTTAGTTTGTTGAAGATCCTAGAACAAAGTGTGGTGATGTTTTTTTTTTTTTTTACATCTGATTTTAATTGTGACTTTACTGTATAGACTGTATATGTATAGTGTTTTTTAATTAGCTTTGGTAGTTTTTAGTTAGGTTGGGTCTATGGGTGTAAATAAGCTGTTAGGCTAACCCCAGTATATTTACATTTGTTTTTAGTCATTGTTCATTAATCTCCATTTGTATAAACAAATAAACAATAATTTTTTTTAGCAATATGCGGTATGTAAAACAGAAATGCCAAAACCAACTACTGAAAGAAATGCTGTTCTTTCCACATTGCAAAACAAACTGTGTGGGTTTCTGTCAAAAATATCTTTTGGTCAAAATTGAAATACTTTTGAGAGAGGCAACGTTGAAAGTGTATTAAAGTTCAATAGCAAAAGAGCATTTTACATAAATTTAATTTCAGTTGAGTCGGCAGAGATGCTGCTTTCCCGTTCTGTGAGTTTCGTCTGTGTTTAAGACTTGTTTGCAATGCGCCTCCATCCTAGAAGAAGCTGTCATGTCACTTTTCAAACAGTGTGTGTTTTCATCTCCCCATAACACCTTGTTCACACAAGCAATCTGGGGATAAATGTCACTTTAGTGTTCAGTTCTTTTTTTGTCTCTTTTCAGAGCTTGCTACAGAGTCAAGAGCACATGATGAAATTCAGTGTAACATTCAAATTCAAAGCAGACACAAAAGTGAAAAGTGCCTCAGATTTACAGGAACAAAAAAAAGTCAGGGCAATCAGACGTGCATTTAGGACCCACTAAACTGCTTCTGTAAAAGTTCACCTCCTGTTTTTAATACTGTAATTCTGTTTTTAGTGCTTAAATAAAATAAACCACACAGATTCTCTACAATCTCCAGACTGCTAAAGTGTAATGAAATTACATGTATCATTGGGAGATAATTTGACATCAACTGGCAATTGGTAAAGTTGAATGTGACAAGCTGGTAAATATTGGAAGCCTGTGATCAACAGCCAATTATGAATCTTCTAATTACATCATTAGGTTAATCATTTTACAAGGACTGGATTTGAGTCTGATGCAAAAACAGGAAATCAAACTTGAGTGTAACCGTACTGTACAGTATGTTCGCCAATCATCCTCTGCAAATAACTTATAAAAAAACAAAAACAAACAAGCAAAACCTGCTCCCACTGACATCTCGCCATGCAGAGTTTTGCCTTTATTTGTGGAGGTTTGAAGATATCCAGGATCTTTTTCTTCCATCCCAGTACAATTAAAGTGAATGGAATCTTGTTTGTTGTGCGCAGAGCATTAGAAAATTACATTAAAAAAATATTGTTTTCCAGAAACAATGTCCCCTTTATTCTGAATACTGCACAGACCACACTGTTAACAGTTTTCATTTCAATGACTTTAGATATAGTCCCTTTAAAAGCTGTTGACATAGATAGATGTACTAATCAAATAGAGGCAAGTAAGAAAATATGTTTTTGGTTTTTTTGGTAACCTGGGTGAACCAACTAGTTTTGCACATTGGGAGACTTACAGGACACAGATCAAGATCCAACACTACACTTCCCATAATCACCTCAGCAGCGCTTTTGATAGACCCTTCCTGCTTTATAAAAAACCTTTCAAACTCAGTTTAAAATCTGTTGTCTCCAAGTTAAACTTGAGTAATACACCACCTTATGAAGACAGAACACCAAAGTGCTTTGAGATAAATATTGAGGTAAATATTGAGATCTGATTTGAAGTGAGTAAAAATTATGTCAGCTGTGTATTTTTTTCAGACTTGAGAGAGCTCCTCCAGTGTCACAGAAGACATTTTGCAACTGTTTACACAGGCTAAACTGTATTTCGTGTGACTTGTAACTTTAGTTTGACATGTAAAATTGTTGGAGTTCTTATCATTAGTAGAGCTGAAATGATTAGTCAGCTGACAAAAAATAAATTAGCAACTATTTCAATAATCAACTTATCACTTATGTTTAAGCAAAAAGTCGAAATATTTTCTAAATATAATACAGTTTCTCAACTGTAAGGATTTGCTGCCTTTTTCAGTTTTGTAAAAAGAATCTCTCTGGGGTTTGGACCGTTGGTTACAACATAACAATTAATCAAATAATTGAGAAAATCTTAGGCAGATTAAAAAACATTAGTTGCAGCCCTATTTGTTTTTTTTTTTTGTTTTTTTTTTTTACATATAAGCCAAGACACAGAAATCAAAGTAGCATTTATGACATGTTTTATGTTTTCACGCAGAGCGAGGTAGACAACAAAATAAAGACTGAGGAGGATGAAAAGGGAGAGAGACTATATCAGAGATTAGGTTACTACGGGCCGAATAGATGAGACAAAAGAGGGCAGAAAAGCAAAGGTAAGAATAAATAGAGTAAGCGACTACGAGAGCAGCCTATCAGCTTTTATACGAGTGTGCAGGCTTTAAAATGAGCAAAATGCATGACACAGCAGTCGAGTATTCAGAGCAGTCGGGAATGGGGGTGGGTGTGAGGGGGGAGGGTGGGAGGAGGGGGTGTTGCCTGGCAGCTTGCACACTGGGCAGATGCTGCATTGGGCTGGGAAAACAAAAGGAGAAGGCCAGGCATGCAGGCGGGTGAGCTGGGACATGCGGGGAGGAGTGAGACACTGCAGTACTGATGCGGTGACATCACCGACATCACCATTATGATCATCATTATCACCACCATCATCCTCATCCCCCTCCCTCCTTCTCCTGGGTCAGCTGACCTCTCAGTGGGATGGCTTGTTGGGTTCACGAGGCAGCTGTGGCTGCTCAGTGGGTCAAATGTTGAACACTTGTCACTTATCTGTTTTATTTTTTTTAAATGCATTATCATTTTGCTGTTGGCTCCCTCCCCCACTACGCTGTTAAATAGACAGGTGCACACACAGTCATCCTCACACACACCTTGGGGTTCCAGGACTTGGATTGTCTCCTAAGCAGTTTGAGTGCGCTGGTGTATTCAGTCTGGATCCTCCTGGCTGGCACCACCAGGTCTCCATCTGACTTTGTCACCACCACCAAGTCTGCCCTCTCAATGATGCCTCTCTTGATACCCTGGACAGAGGTTTTGGCATCAGAGATGGAGATAATTAACTTCACAGAACACCGTGAATAAATCTGATCTAGACGCCTTATAGATAATAGAGGCTGGAGTAGATGCACAGAACGAATGCAGCTGTCAATATCATTTGAGCTTTTTTTTGACTGAGGTGTTATTTTACTCTACTTGAGTCACACAATGTATCTCAATGCAACCAAATGTCTAAGTCACATAGTTTTGTGGCACTTCTGCAGGACTTAAAATCTGAAAAACCTTTCAACGTTTCATTGTCAATATGTTTAATTTAGGATATAATTACAATAATTAAAACAAATGCCACTTAAGATGCTTAATGACCATAATCACCATAATATTAATCCTAATGAGTTAAACTAATTGAGTAATTAGCTAATGAGTAATTCATCTAATTAATAAACTGATTAGCATATAGTTTTTGTCAACATACTTATCTTTACATCAAACATGGACAAAAAAGTAAGTTTCTCCTTAATAACTTAAATTTGAAAATGTATTTATGCAGCAATGTAATTCAAAATGTAGATTACACCATCTATTTACATTATTATTTACACGAGTATTGTTGGTTAATTCATAATTAATAATTATTTCTTCGTGTGAATCTGTGGTATAAGAATGAAGAGACTGAAATCAAACTTTAGGGAAGTTTGTATAATGTATTATTCTCATGTTATCGTATTCACATGACCAATGCCAAAACTGGTGTTACTGGACATTCTCAAAACAATGACAGCAAAGTGGCATGGAATAACCTTTAGTAACCTGCAAGAAATTATGTATTCCAGCTGCTAAAACCAACTTTCTAACCTGAGAGATTAGCATTGGTTGAGCATTATTCAAGCAAAAACACAGAAAAACATCTTTGTTCCAATTTATAACAGATAAAACAAGATCTGACAACGATGATGAGCCACTGATGTTATTCACTGACCTGGAGTTCATCGCCCCCTGCTGGTGGAATCAGCAGTACAAACATGTCAACCATGTCAGCTACTGCAAACTCTGACTGGCCCACACCTGGAAACAAAGACAGAATATTAACTGTATTTACTGTTATTTACTGTTTATACTGTCACCACTAACCAGCAATATACTCAAACTAAAACTAAATCCACAGTAAGGAGCCACCAGCTTGAATGTTGCATCATACAGTCACATTAATAGTTCACCTGTATATGATTTCACAGTACCATGTATGAACAAGAGAAAAATGAAAGTAATTCAGCGTGAAATAAGATTCTTGATCGGAACATGTTCAGAAGTTCAAACATGGCTTTGAATAAGCTTGAATAGCTTTCACAATCTTCACAGTGAATAAATTCTAGCCTCTGGGATACACTTACTAATGGCCAAACTGTGTCTGTGGCACCAAGATCGAAAACTGAGAACAGAGAGATTGATCAAATATTTCATCAAATTCTTAGTTAATACTTCGTCATATATTTCCTGATTTTTTCCCATTTTATCCTGCAGCTTATTGAAGGTGGTGGAGACAACTCTGAAAACTGATAGGTGCTTATAAAGTTGGGTTTATTTAGTTAGATACACAAAATGAGGCTGTATCACCTATTTGTATTCAAATAAGTGTCTGATTATAATAGGAAGAATCAGATACAAGGTGAAACCAAGTGTGAAACAGAAATCTGTATTACACAGGAGAAAAAAAAATCGAATTTTTAGTCTGCAGTTTAAATACTATTTCAATAAAATAAAAAAAACAACTAGAATTAACACCTCGTGGTTGTATGCCAACCAGCCAAGTTGCAGTAAATACGGTCACAATCTCCCCTTCCTGATTTACCGCATGAGTGTTTTTGCAGAACATTCTGATGTCACAGTGAAGTTGGCATTTGATAATTTGGATATAAAATGTCATCACTTGATTCTATCCTTAAGGGCATTTGAGTTAAATTGTGTCATAATTACAGACGGACGGACAATCTGAAAACAATATGCCCCTGGCTCTGTCTGTCATTGGCACATAGGCATAAAATTCACTTTGAGAAACACATGAAAATCCCAGTGTCTTACCTACAGTCTCTACTAGGACGATGTCATATCCTGCCCCCTCACAGAGAACGATGGCCTCATTGGTTGTTCTGGTGACTCCACCAAGTGTCCCAGAAGTCGGTGACGGTCTGATGAAAGCATTCATGTCCCTGGAGAGTTCAGTCATACGAGTCTTATCACCCAACAGAGACCCTGCAACAAGAGGGATCGTCTCAGTTTGTAGCACAAATAAAAACCTTTTTGGTGTAACATGATTGGTTGATTGTACAAGTGGCATCCTAATTAATTCATCCGAACATAAACAACATAGTAAGCAGTGAGGTTATTTTACATAACAATTTCCCACATAGCTCTGTTATGTTATAAAGCACCGCTATCCCAACAACTGTTCTTCAGTATCATGTTTATGATTTGTGTCTCAGATGCTACCTCCTGTAGTGCAAGACGACGGATCAACTGCCAGCACTGACACTTTATGTCCACGTCCTGTCAACATCTTCCCCACCACCTCGATGAAGGACGACTTCCCTGCTCCAGGAGGACCAGACAGACCTGAGAAATCAACAGAGAGATCAAATTAGCAACAAATGGCACCAAAACCTGTTGTCAAGACCTGTTCCTGTTGTCTGTTTCTGAGACTAAGCAAGCTTCAATTAAGATTGCAAAATTTGTTTTGTTTTACATGTAATGCTTATGTGGCTACTCAAAACGTTTAAAGTTATAAATCTCCTAAAAACCTGGTGCCAAAAAACATGTCTGAAGTGCTTGAAGAATATAAACCTGGAGGTTCCCATGATTGTAAAAAAGCAATTAGTACCTCTAGACATACCCACACATGGGAAAAGCTGCATTTAGATACTTTAGTGCACACAGGTGAAACCAACTTCCTGATGATATTAAACGCACCCCATCTTCAGCCACTTTCGAATAAATTTATGTTATACAAACAAACTTGCAGTGCGATGTGATTTTGCATATATCACAAATACCATGATGTAAATTGATATTAAAAAAAATGTCCTTAATCCAATGATAGTTATTTCCTGACTCGTTCTCACCTCATGAGTCCAACAATACTGTCAACTGCTAAATTGACTGACATGAGGATATGATTATCCTCTATAGAACTGGGGGTATTAGTCTCTAAAACCTGCCTTGTCTTAGGCATTTGATCACCTACCTTTAAAAATGACTTGAGGGAAACTGTCAATGGTGGGTTCCACACTCGCCAAACACTTTATTAGGAACACCATACTGACACTAAGTAGTTCTTCACTTTGCCCTCAAAACAGCCTCAGTTCTTCTTACATAAGATATTCCTTTGAGATTCTGGTCCATGTTGACATGATTGCATCAGATCATTTCTGCAGATTTGTCAGCTGCCCATTCATGCTGTGAATCTCCTGTTCTACCACATCCCAAAGGTGTTCTTTTGGATTCAGATCTGGTGACTAGGGAGGCCACTGATGTACACTGAAGTCACTGTCATGTTCATGAAACCAGTCTGAGTTGACTTTTTCTTTGTGACATGATGGAAGCCGGAAAAATTCCCCATTACACCACCAGGATTCTGACCCTATTTGATGTGAACATTAACCGGAGCCCCTGTATCTTCATGATTTTATGCATTGCAGTGCTACCACATGATTGGCTTATTGGCTAAATGCATAAATAAGCAAGTGTACATGTGCTTTAATAATGTAAAAGTATTCTGCGAGAAAAGTTTACAACTAATGCATCCTAAGAACAATCACCCTGCGAAAACACATTTTCTCCTGAAATATTTACAATATAATGCTAAATAACAAGCACAAAAGTTTGAATATCTGCACTGTCAGTGTGAAAACAACAGCCTTGTCAAACAAACCCCCTAGCAGTCTATACATCTTGTAGAAGAAGTCCTTTCAAAAATCATCACTTACACCAGAGAGAAAGTAATAGAACAAAATATCCGTGTCAACCAAAAAGCACATTCCCAGTTTGCTGAAAATGAGACACCGCTCTCTTAATCTTGTCTTCACCTCTATCCCCAGCTGAATACAGAAGGCGAGCCCACACACCTACTCTGAAGGCCACTGGCTTCCCTCCATTGCGACTCTCCTGCTCAATCCTGTAAGCCAGCACCCTCTGCAGCAGCACCTGGGCCAGCTCTTTCTTCCTGGGATGCTGCGTCTCCACTAGAGTGATGGACTCAGCCAGAGACGCCCGCTGTCCTCCGATCAGCCCATCGTACAGTTTTGTCAAAAGTCTCTGCTCAGGGCCGCTCAGGTCATGTATGTGCTGGCTGAGGGCTGTGCTCACACCCCTACTGTACTGGCAGCTGTGACCCAGGACGGTGTTCTGGTAACAGGGGTGGGAACCTGTGAAGACCCTTTGGTGGAGGCAGCATGTCCTGGGTGAGGGAAGGGAAGAGATGTAGCGGAGGAGGCCAAACCGTCCCATTTTATGACAAATATGGGGCTTCTAGGAGGAGAAAACAATGGAGATTTTTTTTCATTCATTCATGACAGCTTCAACTGTAGCATCAAAATGACGAAAATATGGAAGATAGCGTATTCAATCCTATTTTGACCTTATAATTTAGCGGTGTCTTGAGCACTTGCTAACCGAAAATTCAACTGTTGTTAGCCTTGACAGCAAAGTGAGAAAACTTCAACACGAGCACAAAACCGGTTTCTTCTATTGACCGTGAGGCTAACGCTGTGTTAGCGTAACATCCGCTAATACTGTAACTATAAATACAATTCTAAAAGATATAACCAGCAAACTATTTACACAAAATGTTCCTGAAGTTACAGGAATTCACACTGACCTCGTACCAGCTTCCTGGAGGTGTTACTCGAGCGTTACAGGTTACATATCAACGGTTGTTTCATTCATTCTCTTCCGTTTCCGTTGACGCACGGCACCGCCCCCGACAAAAGGTTCCGTCGATTCATTTATACGATAAATATATCTTTAAACTCTGTAAATAAAGAAGATAAGTGTCAAATGTATTTGCCTTTGTAGTAAAACAAGCGGAAATGTATGAGTGATTTCTGAAAAGTATTCCCTAAATCGTCAAAAACAAAACTCAGGGGGCGGCTTATGGGGCCCTAGTACCTAGCACTTCTTACATGAAGTTTATATTATAACTTAGATCAAATAAAATACTGTACTATAATACTTAAGTACTTGTCCATGTTCTTTATCCTATGACGCTATTCCTTAAAGAAATGTAATATCAATAGAGTAAATATTCCTCTGTTGGTCAGAGTAGTGAAGACATTTAGTTGGCCTTGGTGTGGATCCATGTCTGCTCAGTTAGAGCAGCACATATAATTATGGTCTGGATTTAAATGTAGATTTGTCATCTAAACATTAAATCTGTGAACTCTGTGAACATAGTGTAACAAAAATAGGTGTCAAGATTAGTAAAGCTGTTTAAATTCATTCACGACCTACGTCATGTAAATTCAAAATAGTAACATCAGACATTTTTTTCCTCTTTTTATGTGTCAGCAGTGAAAATTAGCCATGATGCAGGCCCTGGAAGTTTTTTTTTCCTGGGCAACTATCATGTTTTGCCCAAATGATGTACAAATGGCTTGATACAGTAAATAGTGCATGTAGCTGCTGTGAATGGGGGAGAAAATTCCCCAGGGGAAAATATAGACTAAGCCCCAACTGTTTACAATGTCTGGCTCCACCCCTGGACAGAGGACAGGTTTAACCAGCAGACAGCAGCAGAGGTTCATTTTTACATCCCATCTGAAACCACAGGCTGGTTCGATGCCCTGAATCAAACCTGATAATGAAGGCTTTAAAAAACGGTGATTTCAGTTTCCTTAAATAAATAAATTATTATAACATTTAATTTTTAAAGGACTTTACTATTCTCTAACCTATTGTAGGCAGAAATGATACTTAGAAATTTTTTTTCTATGTGATTTTAGTAAAAACTGTCTGGAAAATCTATAGTACCAGACCTATGATGTTCATATTTGGTCATATGAGGACCTTAAATAAGGCAATTTTTTAATTAGTTGATTATTCCATTCATTTATCCATCCATTTTCTGCTGCTTATCCAGGCCCAGGTTGTGTTAAATGATTAATTAATGTTATCATTAGGAATTATTGGTACATACTGCTGGTAAGTGGTGACAATGTGATATAAATAATTCATGCACTTGGTAAATAATTCTAGGTTATATCACCGCTAACAACACATAGAAGTCTGAAATGTGACATGGAAGCCCAACTTCATTTGTGAAGTGTCACAAGCCAGAAAGGTTGGAAATCAGTGGGTTTCTTCAACAATATATTGTATTTTCTAAGATGCTTATATTAAATCTGTAAAGTAACTAATTAATATAGCTTTAAGATAAATGTAGTGGAGTATAAAGTACAATATTTTCTTCCGAAATGTAGTGAAGTAGAAGTATAAAGCAGTATAAAATGGAAACACTCAGGTAAAGAACAAGTGCCTCAAAATTGTACTTAAGTAGGATTACTGTACTTGAGTTACTTTCCACCACCGGCTACAAGTTGTGATACTAATAGTGGGTTTGCAGGTTTAACAGACAATGCATTCTTTTTTTACTGTGCACTTTCTTGAGACCTTGGACAAACTGAGTGCAGGTAATAAAATGGTGGGCAAACATGTAATATAGCAGCGGTAATTGGGGTTTCAGTACTAAAAAATAAATACAAGAGGAAGGACAGAAAATGCATAAAAGCTGCAACTTCTGTGTAAAAAAAAAAAACAACCTTGATCTCTACACTTTATACCTGTATGGGCTATACTGTAAAACACATTTCCATATTTCCTGAAAAAAGGTGTTAATCATACATAATGTAATACATATAGCATGCCCACCTTGATCACCTTTGTGACTCAAAGCGTAGACACTGCTCAAAACATTTAGGATTTGACCTATTAGATATTTTGATTTTATACTGCATGCAGTGGGAAAGTATATTCACTTACTTTTCCAATCTCTAATTGTTTACAAGTTTATTTTACAGGTGGATAGTTCTACCCACTAATTATTGGACAATAGGAGACACCTTAGATGGAGTTTTAGTACATCACAGGCCTGTGACACGACGGTTAGATGTACACTCCTTTTAGTCATAGACATTCAGAGGCTCCGCTCCACCTGATGTGCTTGTCTATGGAATTTGGGAGAAACATGCAAACTCTTGGGAGGCAGCAATACTAACCACTGTGTAACCATACCACCCACATGTACAGTCGAATAAGACTCCTGCATGCAGAAAAATACACACACACACACATTTCAGTCATCGATTTCCAGGGGAGCTTCCTGTAAGATTGCTCTGACTGCTTCAGTGCTGTCACAATGTGTCCCATAAAACAAAGGAAAACACGATTTTATGCCTTTTCATGCAACTTACTGGAAAATGCAATTATGCTCAACATTAGTGCAGTTGGCTTTCAGATGCACTTGTAATTGTTGTGCCTCACTAATTGAAGGTCTACTCCCATACACACACACACACACTCTCAGAGTGGAGAATGTTTTTGAAAGTTCCTGACAATAGCATGACACGTATTTTCTTACCATGGGTGGCCTTTAATTACACAGACGGACATAAAGACACACAAACATACACACACAAGCACAAACGCATGTCCTGACACAGTGTTCATAAAAGAGACAGACATGTTGCAAGTAATGAAACAAATTTATTGAATCTTCCAGTAGAGACTTGATATTCATGGAATAAAACTGCTTTTCTGGGAGCTTTACTGAGCAGGAGAGAAAAAAAACAAAAACAAAAGTGCAGACAAAAACAGAAAACGTTCAAAAATACAAAAAGAATGTAAAGAGTATAACAGTTTAATAGCAAAGAACTGCTCAAAGCATAAAAGAATTGAATGACAAAATCTGCATTTTATAAAAAAAAAAAATAATCTTGGGACATCAGGAACTGATACCCTTTTCTCAGTCAACAATTTAAATTTGAATGCTCAACATTTTCCCATAACAGTCATTTAACAAGTTTTGCTCAGTCAATGTAATAAGAGAAAGAAGCACAGTCACTGAAATATTTATGTCCTCAATGTGACTCCGTATTTGACACATTTGATTTTGCTGCAGAGTATACAGCAAAGGACAAACTAAACTGCACTTGTATTTGCCTCTGCTTCATGTGATGTTTAGCTACCAGTCGTAAATGTGTAGCACTACACTAACCAAACTATGCTTCGCAAAACCAGACTGCACAGCACATATTCTAATAGTGAATATATCTAAACACTATTTCTTTTTTTTTTTAAATTCATTTGAAACACGAGTGTAACACAAGATGAGCAACATTTAAACATTAGTCTTTTATGTCAGAAATGCCCTTTTAGTGCCATGCCCCACACTAAACCCCACCCTAAACTCTAAAACTCCCCTTAATTTGCCCTCATATTATTTTTCATGATTTGTGATATGGGATTTCATTATAATAACTTTGCACTGCTTTAATTTATTAACCTAAAAAAAACACTTAAAGGAAACAGCATACTAGTTTAAGTGTCTGGAGATGATTAAAATTTTCAGTCATACTCATCATCCTCCAAGTCCCTGCTAACTTTGTACATGTCGTAAGTACATTTCATGCCAGCCTCATTACAGTCAGACAGAAAACAGCTGCTAACTGCAATTTCGGTGACCTGGAATGTCCCATAGTTCTTTTAACTACACACGTATATCTGGATTTTTGAGGGAATATTTAGATGCAAACTAGTTATGAGTCAGAATAATAGAACAATGAAAAAGAGACGTTGTGGGAGCAAGATCAGGGAGGATACTTGCGTCATGATGAGTGTGATGGTCTAATTATTACAGTTGGTCACAAAGATCAAGTATCTTCCAGTTTCATCACGCTCACTTTACTTACTCCTCTCCCAGTCTGTAAATGTGCCCAATTCAGACGTCCTTCAAGTAGAGAACAAACCAACCTATTTAACAACCCACCCGACCTTTGAGGTCCCAGATCAGCCAATGTTTTAGTCTAAACCTCTATCAGTTATTGACTGAACCACAAACCAGTCTGGGACCAGTTAGCCCCTATTCTTGCTACTTATACCAAAATGCTGGGGTATGGACAGCCACAGGGCTGAGGACATTGAAGCCTAGGAGACGGAGGATATAGGGTTGTGGGGGGAGCCCATCTGGGTTAGCACCTTATCCAACCACTGCAGGGGACCATGCAGGTGAATCTCAATCCAGCAGGGTGTGCTGGTCACATCCTGGCGGTGGTACTCTGCTCCCCAGCCCTGGAACATTTGGAAACACATTAGGATAAGGATGAGGACACAGCTGTTCATCTTTCTCCTCATTTTTAAAATGTATTCACTTCACATAATTTGGACTGTCCAGCATGAACATTAAGATTTTCACTGGAAACTTCTTTTAAAAGGATCAGCTCATTCTAAACTGATTTTCCCCTGGTCAATAAGATAATAAATAAATTAAAACTCCGGCACAGCAGTATAATTCAATTGGGGGATGGTTACACACAATGAAAAAGGAAAAAAAGTCAAGAAAGGGCAGCACAAACAAAATAATTCAGCCTAATGAAGCATAGGTAAAACACATTGTCCACTCTTCCACTTGAAAACAAAAATTTTGGAAGTTTTAACTTGGTCCAGTCCTGAGCGTTTTATGCCTCAAAACATCCAAAAGTCATTGAATGCTTTGCTTTCAGAATATACTATACTACACTAGAGTGAGCAGTATATTCTGATATTTTCTGCTGAGAAAATTTGACAATATGCACTGAGACAGTGAAATGTTAATGTTTATACTGCAGATGTTATTTGTAAGTCAGATTTTTGTGGGGATTCGTTTCTTGTAAAATAAAAACTTAAAAATTATGACGTTTTACAACAAAAGTAAATACTTTTATCTATTAGAATAGACTCAACCGATAGTCAGCAGAAACACAGTATTGTATAATAAGTTCAATATTTGCATAAGGCAGTGCAAAAAAATGTATACTATTCTTGGTTTTTCGTCTCTGACCAGCTTACCTTAACGAAGCTCATGCGAATGGTACACATCTTCGTGAGCTCATAAACGGCCTCAAAGCCGTGGTTGACGGATTGGGCCAACAGCTCAGCAAACTCCTGGTTGTTGAAAATCTTCAGGCTGCAGCCGCTGGGAATCTTACACACAGTTGTGGGATGGAAGCCATGGTGGTAGTTACAGTTACGACTCTGGACGAAGATACTGCTGTCACTCAGACATTCTGCGTATACCTCCCCACCAACATAATACAGATGGACACCTATGAAGAAGCAAGAGAGGATGAAGATTGGTCACCCGAAGACACAGTAGTTTTGTCATCCTCAAAGGAAAAAGGCCCCAAAACATCATTGTGGTCAATCTAAAATCAATACACGACAATGTTCATTCAATTTGTTGTTATAGTTCAGTTCTTTTCTTGATCCCAATCTGTATTGACAAAATAAATTGATTTAGTCTCGTCTGCTAACAGGCAGTGCATCGTAGACATTGATGGGCTTTACATACGGCACCTTTGCCGATGTGCCGCCGGGTGTTCTCAATGGTGGAGTTGCGGTTGACGTTGGAGAGCAAGCCGAGACAGAATCGGTTGCGGTTGTTGGAGGGATCTGTGAAGCCATCGACAAGCACACTGGTAGAGGAAGCCTGGAACGCCTCTCCGACACGATTGTTGAGCTCATAGTAAACAATAGAGCACCAATGCTTGGGTTCCTCATAGGCCACAGGCTGCACATCTGCGCAGGAAACACATTAATAGGTCACAAGAGTGAGCTGAGTACACCGTCGATGCAGAGACAGAGGCAGACACATTTAATGTACATTTAAGACTCCTTTGTGTAGACAAACTGCCAGGATCCACTGATGCCAGCGGAGGCTCGGCTGTAAATCCTACTCACCCGTGCAATTATTTTTCCCAAATTGTCCCCTGCAGCCCGTAACAATAATTTTAACAAACAAATAGGACACACTGGCTACATTTGTGTGCATTTACGATGACCAAAATCAATGCAGATGCATCCTAAAGCATGCAGACTGTCTGTGATCTTTGTGCCAGCCTTTATTGAGCAGGCTAACAGTCAATAGAAGGGGTCTGGCTATGCTCTCTGTGCCTGCTATCTGAGGGAGAGCCAGTGCCAGCTGGCCTCACCCTCTCTGAGAGAGAGGAATAAATCATGTTTATCTAAGCACATACTTCTCCCAAACTTCCTCTGTAGCGTGGTACTGGCTAGCAGGTGTGTTTTGTCTGTCCTCTTCCCAGAGCTGGCCTACAATAGAGACCCACTCCCCGCTACAGGATGCAGCTTGTGGAAAAGAACTTAAAAACTCCCCATACTCCCACTTCCAGCAAACATTTCAACAGCTCTTCCCGCTACTGCTGTCACCATGTGTGGGCAGAATCTCTGGGCCTTGAGTGCATGATGATATTTGGATATTTGGATTGGAGGTAAAACCAAAAGTGAGGAACTTAAAATATCAACAATAATCCCTCATTGCATGGGAAATTTGTGGTTACCAAGTACGGCAAGTATGGTACGACAGAATGTAATACAGAATTTTGGTCTGTAAACTGATGTTAACATTAGACAATTTGAGTTATTTTAAAATTTGCCTTTGTTTTCATTTTCAAACCGGTTTGGGGGTTTGTTTAAAACCTGTCTGATCACCCGACTACTCGAGTGTCTTCCTCCACCATTCCTCCATCCATTTCTTTTTCGAAATGGTGCCATGTTTCCAGGTATAGCAATTAACTGAGGTGAGTACACTCTTAATATTACCAATAGAAATGATCACCAACACAAATACTAATATGACAGAATTTTCCTTTAAATCAAATGACTCTGGAGACCAATACATGTCCATTGCATAGTATATTACAAATTCATGAATGCCATGTTCAGAAGTGTTTGTCCAACACAATAAAGCAATTATTGCACTGAATTTCAGATCTGAAAGTTGGAGGGAATTAGTGAATCGTAACATTAACGAGTTTTAAGTCATTACCACCAGCAGAGATGACATAAGCCCCGGCTTTTATAGGCCTCATAAAAGTGCTCTGAGGCCTAGCTTAATTTGCTGAGTCTTTGAGCTTCCCCTGGGCTCACACACACAGACGAAGCCTCACTGAAAACTAACAGATCCTTTTCCACACACTGTTCAGGTTTTATCTGACAGGATATGGCATAATAACCCCACTGATGTTCTTTTTTTGTATTTGGAGTTTGAGCACAGGAAAAAAATACCTTTAAAAATAACCAACCTTCCAAGAAATCTTTGCACCTGCAGATCAAGGCAAGCAGGTGCAGACAGCTTTATGTGGATGATATCACTGTGAACACAAGGACGGGTGTGTGCGTATGTCTGAGTGTGCATGTGAGAAAGAGATAGTAACTGCCATGGTTACCTGCCCGATTGTTACTCTCTAGAGGCAAGGGTGGAGCCATGAGGTTGGTGTCCATTGGCTGGGGGCAATCCTGAGTCATTTGCTCCTCTGGGGGCATGTAGGCAGGAGGGGGAGTCTCTGCATCAAGAAGGGGGCAGAACAAAGAGAAGTGAATTGTTGTTGTTGTTCAGTACAGACGAAAAGGACGACAAGTGGAAGATAATTTACTGCCGGGTCTCACCTGGCATTTGGAATGGACTGCCGGGGTCAGAGCTGGATGGTGAATGAGGGAAAGTGGCGCTACTGCCACTTCCCGGCGAGTTTGGGTAGCTGTTTCCTGGCGAGTGCGGGAAAGGCATTGTGTTGGCCTGAGCAAAGGACTCTGGGAAGGTGGCATTCTGGGGCATGTGCGGCTCGTTCTGTTGTAGAGGATTGCGGAAGCGAGGCAGCATTGTATGCTTGGCGTTGAACTCGCTGTTCCTCGGTACCAACACAGGTGGCAGCACTGAGGAGAGACAGAGCGATATAAAAATGGTCAAAACAAGTTTACAAATCCTTTTATAAATGTATCTACCAATGAGTAAACATAACACTGATGTGACACAGTGTGCATTCTATACATATTAAAGTTAGAATATGACACTCGTTTTTAAATTTTGTTTCTTAGTTTTTAGTTCATTTTCTTTATGAAAATGTAATTTCATTTTGTTAAATTTCTTATTACTTGTGAATTTTATTGTATTTTGCATCTTACCTACCTCCTTGAATGTTCTTATCTCATTATGTGACTTGGCTGCTGTGACACTGCAACTGCCCACTGGATGTAATGAAGAACTTATATCTCTATATCCGTCTATGTAATAACTAATCATCTAATTGTTTCTGCACTGTAGACATTGTGTACAATCACACATATGCAAAATCTACACATACACATTCAGTATGAATTCACTTATTTCAATCCAAGATAATAAATGAATCTCTTTCTGGCACTTTTCATGATTGAACATTCTGAGCGCAGATGTCCCTGCATTTTTTAAAATGTCGGCTTCCAGCCTGTTGGTCGTAGCCAGCAGTATTTGGCCCAGACTCTCAGGTTTCTGCTCAGAAAAGACATTTTGACACGAGCCATTCTTGAGGAATTCATCACTTAGGGTAAATGTCCTTGCTGATGTGAGGGCTATTCAGGTGCAGTACATACAAACCACAGAGATACGCTCCACTTGTGCCTATAAATACTTGTGCAGATAAATAAAGCTGGTGCTGAAATGTTAGACGGGGCCCACGCTGCTGTTCCTGCAGGTAGACCATGTGTGCTGCAGTGGGCCAGTGCATCAGTGTAGCAGTTTATTTCAAAGGTTACATGTTGAGCAGGCAGACAGCTGTGGTGCTTGGTAGAATAGTGAAGGGAGATTGACAGGATGTGTGTGTTTGTAGGTGGGTGGACAGAAGGGGAGAGGAGGGTGGTAGTGTGGACAGACAGGTGCTCTTGGGTTGAATCACCTCAGCCCCCCATATTCCACCCGCTGCTAAAACAAAAAGTGTGCGAGGCAGGCAACAACTCTTTCCTCCCATTGTGTGACCGGCTTCCTTTTCCAGTCAACCTCAGAGAAACTGTGCGTGCAGTCATGGGTGTGTTTGTATCCTCGTTTTAGTAACACGCGTGCAAGTACGGGAGTGTGTGTGCCTGTGTGTGTCTACATGTGTGCATAAATGTTGGGAAAAAAAAGGGAAAAAAAAGAAGGGCCTGCAGTACAGACCATGCCCAAAACAAAGCCCTCATTCTCCCCCGGATGGAATTTCCTGCTCCACACACACATGAAGGAACACACACACACACACACACACACACACACACACACACACACACACACACACACACACACACACACACACACAACACACACACACACACACGGCCCTTTACACACTAAGCACCGTGCACACAGCTGTTTCTATCTTGTCAGCTGACCCTCAGTTTCTGTTAGTAAGAGGCCAAATAGTGTTTGATTTGTCTCATTTCTCCACTACCTTTACAGTCAAAGCCCGAGGCTCAGGAGTGACCTGCCCGAGGAAATTTGGCTAGGTTAGTATCATATTCTAAATCTCTTCTTGAGGGTTTTTTCTTACTTGTATTGTCTCTTTATTTCTTTTATTGTACAGTATTGGAAAGGGTTTTATCTATTATGATTAGAATTTATATTGGATTTTAATTTGTTGTCTTTCATCTGCTGCCTTCTGAATAAGTGAATATCAGCAGAAGTCATTACAGTAAAGGAAAAGATTTCTACATACTCAGAAAGATAATCAAAAAGTAAAATTTCAAACAGTGTTTTTTTTTTTGGTAATATAATGATGATTTCTCTAGATTCACTGATCCTTCCACTCCTGCAACTCTCTCCATCTCTACCGATACTGAATCTTATACCTCATTTCAGGGTGTCTGCTGGTACAGATACATGATTCGATACAAGTACTCTTTTTTCTCTCATTTAAAATCTTAATACCATAAAGTGCAAAACTCTTTATTATGATTTAATTGTAGGATAACATGGGGCCATGGATTAATTATTGTAATACTAACATTGTCAAAGAATCTGTATTTAATGTGGGTCAGTCACATCATGGTCAACGTACTTCAGGTCAATATCCACATAGATTCGTACATCCCTAGTTACTTCAGAATTGTATAACTCACCTGGACTGTCCACTCGTTTGTAGTGGTAGGGGTTGATACACACATCCTTCTGTTTGGAGCCAAAGGGGTACTCGCAGCACTCCAGGGCCTTCAGCTCATGATGGGACTGCAGGTCGGGCCAGCGCCACACCCGACAATAAATGACATGTGGCAGACCTTTCCTGTGGGACACCTGCAGCCGTCCGTCCAGGGAACGGGGGATTGTCACACAGTTACTGGGCTGACCTGGGCAGCTGAGAGCCCTCTCCAGCTCCTCCATGGCTCCCTTCTTCTTTTTCAGTTTCTTAACCAAAGCATCCACAGCCTTTTCAGCCCATTTCTCTTCCTCGTCTCCCTGCTTCCAACCCAGCAGCCGTTTGACCGCCGGGCTGGTGAAGGAGAAGAGTGAGGTGACGTTCATGATGGACAAGCCGCCCTCCTCCCCGCTCCCTTAAGTCCAAAAGGAAGTGTGAGCAGTGCAGCGACAGTCCAGTCTCAGAAGACAAAGGGTGATATACTACTTAAGTGTTTGGTTGTTGTTTTTTCAGATAATCCTCAGCTTTCTAGATGTCAGGTCAGGTCCTCTTGACAGCCACTTCCTAAAAGAAAAGGAGAGGCAGGTAAGCATCTGTGAGTAAAAATCTCCTTCAAAAGAGATTTCAAACACGATTCTACAGATCAGCTCAGCCGGCAGTGTCCTCTCCCTCACAAAGTTCCTGCAACTAAGGTGAACATTGACCTCTTCTCCTTATACTTCATTCACGCTGATGTCTCACCAGAAAAATCCTTGATGAGGTGATGATGTCAGTTATAGTTGTTACAGCCATGTCATGGCTTCAGGGAAACTGGCAGAGGAGTCACAACAGACGCCCTCCTGTGAACATAAGTCCCAACTAGACATTCTGCAGATAGCTTCCTGTCCGTATGGCTTGTCACATTACCACCACTCACTTAAATCATTTACAGCAAATGACTTTGTGTAAAGTATGCAGCTCACACAACCTATACGAATTTGGCCTGCAGGTTTAACACCTGATTCACTCTTTGGGGGGTTAAATCTGTCATCCTCGTTGTTTCTTCAACACGTATTTCATATGGTAGCTAAAATCTATCCGCAACTTAAAGTTAATCTGTTTATTTTCTCAATTAAGTAATTGTTTCGGCCATAACATGTCATAAAAGAAAGGGTCCAAAGTAACATCTTCAAATTGCCTTTTTTCTTATGAGTTCTTAGTTTTTCCTTTTTTCTGACCATCACAGAACAAAGATCCATTTAACTGTGGTGTAAATTTCTGTCAACTATATATCTATACTTTAACAAACCAATTTGTTCAGCTTTAGTAGCAAATGTTCATTATCAATTAATCCATGTTTCAAATAATCAATTCAAATAACAAAAATAATAATCCCCCTTACAATTTCCTACATCCAAATACAAGAACATTTCATAAAACAGAGAAAGGAAACAAACCCTCACATCTGAGAAGCTACAGCCAGCAAATGTTCGACACCATTAGCTGATAAATGACTTAAACAATTAATCTTACTTTTACATTTAGTCATTTGGCAGGCACTTTTATCCAGAGCAACTTACAAGTGATCTTATATCAAAATAACAGTCAATTAATTTCATGACAAAAGATTTATTAACACCAGGTTTAGTTAAGTTTTTTTAGAAGTTATGATTGTGCTACTTCACGTTTTTCTCCTCATCAATATGCAGAGCATGACCACAATAACATGAACAATCAAATATAATAACTATGAAATCAGACCTTAATCAATTTGTTAATTAAAATTAATTATTTTCATTAACCGTCTGGAGCCAGTTCATTTTTGGTATTTCTGCTTCAAAGTGACTTAAACAATTAATCAATTATGAAAATTTTTAAGCTTCTCGCAAATAACTGACTTTACTTATTGCCTTCTTATAATTTGACTTGATATAACTGCAAACCGTTAGTCAATTATATGGAAGATATGAAGAGTCTTTTAAACTTTCAATGGGCAGCCTGCTGAGGCAAATGTTCTCTAAAGCTTTAACACCACCAACCAACAAACACTGGTACTGGGCAGGAATCTGGCAATGTGTGGGACAATAAAAAGGAAGTGCATGTGGACCCCAGGATAAATGTGCCCATTCACTTGAGTCCCACAGGAGCAATTCAGTAGCCAGGAGGTGCACGCATTCTAGCTGTTAAAAGGGAAAACAAGAGTGCATTGAGCTCTTCCAGTTCAACCTTCTTTTCAAGTTTTTCTGAATGCAATTAGGGAGATAAAACATAGTTACGGTTGAGGTTTGGCTGCACATAAATGTTCAGATGCAATCCCAGATTCAAATAAACAGGTTGTCAGAAATTCTCCACCTTTTATCTGTACTGACTCACGGGTGAGGATGCATCACTCTCTGACAGTAAAGCCTGCAGTATATTGGATTTCCTACGAGCAGGAACAAATACATCATTAAGACTGCTCTGTAGTTATTCTTGGCCCTTCAGATTATGGGATGAATAGCAATTTCTATCTTTGTCAGCTACTGCATGTGTAGGCTGTATCACACTGACAAACAGGGAGGGGTGAACAGGTGCTGTTTACAATGCATGTGTGTTGTGGAGGCACTTACTACTGCCAACCACTACACTCACTGGAAAGCTGCAAGTTGCAACGGGCTAATCAAAAGTGACGTTGAACCACTAACAAATGAGGGACAGACATATGAGTGGGCGGGGGTGTGTCTATATGTGTGTGTGAGAGAATAAGGAAAATCATATTTCAACGCTGATTTCTCTTGTGTCTCAAGACCCAACTATGATATCACACCCTGCTATAGCATCATAAGACTACTATTCTCCACCATCAGAGAGGCAGGAAACAGGCTGCGTAGTTATGTCTTCATATCTGTCATCTCCAGCACAGCAGCGACATCACTTCCTTTTGCTGAGAACAGCAAGATTTTCTTCAGATGCGGGGTAGGAGAGAAAATGGTTTCCTTAACTGGCCAACTCTGACCTCTTTCTTTCATTTGTAGTAAAACAGTTAAAATGGGGGAGAAAGGGTCAGAAATGTCATAGGTGTTCAGTCAATGAAGTAGCTGGATTTCTCAAACTTCATATACAAACGACTCCCTATATAAGCAATGGATATTGATGAAGGACTCAGACAAATTTCCATCACAATTTCTCAGGGTCTTTTTTCTCACTTTTTTATGGTGAAGGCCTACACTACATTGAATGGTGACTTGAGAGAGATAGGAGACAGAAATGTAAATAGATAAAAACACCCAGAAATAGACCACTGGCAACATTTTCATACAACATGTTATATAATACATATATTTGAAAAAAATGAACAAAAAAAACATACTAGATAACACCTTTTTCCATTTAACAAAGAAGGCTTACTTTTTAAAATTTAAATCAGGAAACATCCGGTCAAAGACACAGTAAACAAAATTGTAAATCTGACCAGACGTTTCATACCTACTTTCGACACATGTCTGTTGGTCACCCATTATTGGTGCTGGCTGGCTACTGTAATAGGTTGTAGATTCATCAGATCACTTGATTTTAAATTGAGTATTATGGGGGAATCTCTAAAATCTGACGCACCACTATACAGCGACCTTGACAGTGTCTTTTGCAAAACTGACTCAGAGCACATCTTCGCACAAAACAAAACACAGAATTCAGAGCTGAATGTGGAGCATAACAATAAAACATATAGTTCATAAAGGCAAAAACAGAAACATCACGTTTGTATCAGGGTCACCACCCAGACACAGAGGGAGTCGTTTTGATCCACTTCCAGCCACAGAGCTGCTTTGATGGCCTCTCAGTGACAGCTAGCACTATCAGCACAAGTTCAGGACTAACACACAAAGACGAGCTTTAATCCATTTCAGATGGAAGATTCCAGAAAGTTCTGTACTGTAACATTTGGAGCAGGCTTCACAATCCTCTGCTGTCATTTAGCTGCAGCTGGAGACCATATCTCTTGGATATTTCCAACCATGACAGTTAGTAATATCTGACTGATGGCCTGACCACATGCTTATTTAAAGGGTCTGATATGTCTTTGTGCTGCTTCTTTGGACAATGCTAGTTTACAGTTGTCTGTGAGGCAGTCAAAACATAAAGGCGCCATTGTGTCTCCCTGTTCCTATACCTATGCATAGACTGGGATGTGTGCATGTTTGCATTTTTGAGCACCAGATTTCGAATGATTCCCTGAGACTTTATACTATTTATAAAATTTGTGTTCACATGGAGGCAGTTTTGAAGATTGTCTTAAGAAATATATAGTGAATACAGTAAGTTTGTTTTAAATCTAATCAAAATGAAAAGTAAAAGCTCTTCAGCGAAAATTCTGGCACACACATTGTGAAAGATCTTTCATTCAGTAGTTTGAGTCTCAGTTGTGTTAATATTAGCTGATTTCTGTTAGCAGTTAAGAGAAGTTAATATTGCAGGCACAATGCAGATTTCTGTGAACTGACAAGCAACAAACTGTACAGCTGCACTGATCTCATCAATTCTTGTTTCCATCTTCGTGGAGCTATTTTTTTTTTATGGACAAAGCTATTTTTCTGACTCTGGCCCAAGAAGATGAAATCCTGATTCTTAATCCCACCTACAAACCTCTGATTGGCTCGGTTGTTTTCCAACTGGAAAAACAGCTGTCAAAAATTTGTGAAAAATCCCCTTACGACTTCCCAAGGTGACATCTTCAAATTGCTTGTTTTGTCCACACAAATGTATTTAATTTCATTTATAAAACAGAAAAAGCAGCATCACATTTGAGAAGCTGAAACCAGTGAATTGGCTGATTAACTTAAATAACTAATTGGTCTAGGCCTGCAAATAATGCTTACTTTCATTATTTAATCTGCTCATTATTTCCTTAATAAATCATGTCAAAAAGTCTAAAAACCAAAGATATTCAGAGTACAGTCACACTGGACAAAGAAAACCACCAAATCCTCACAAGTGACGAGCGGAAACTGATAGATTTTTGGCAATTTTGCCCCCGACAAACCCTCAACATTCCCTTCAGCTGAGTCCAAGCAACACTGTCTCACTGTTGTGTTAAGGGTGGCTTGTTATGGCCATCAGTTAGCCCATCTGAGGCTAATGGGAGCACAGAGTGGGATCATGCGACACTGACAGGCGGAGGCTTTGACCCACCTGGTGCGAGCTGTTAGCCACTACACTAGCCCCATGGATCATTTTGCACCGCTCCAGTGTCTGTTAATCAATTTAGGCCTGGGCTGTGTAGGATGAGGAGGCAGTAATGATGCTCTCTGGACCCTCCCCAGGGACGGAGCATTATAAAGAAGCTACATTATTTATCAGCAGGGTCCTGGATGGGGCCTCCATTAGCCCCCCGCTCAATGGAGTCACTGGCTATAAACAGAGGAGTGCAGGAAGAGAGAGAGAGAGAGAGAGATAAAGAGAGAGAGAGTAAGAGAGAAAGGAGGAATGATGCAGAGAGAGAGAGAGAGAGGGAGAGAGTGACTGCAAAGCCAGAGATCTAAGACAGAGTGAGTGTTTTGGAGAGAGAGAGATTGAGAACACTCGTATATCTTGTCTCTTCACTGAGCACTTCTGGATTAAGTGCCTTCAAGAGTCATTACTGAGTAAATAGTGACACTACAAGGATGCAATATATGCTTTTTCACAAATAGAAATCATGGCAATTCAGCCATGAGGTATGAAAGCATCATTGGAAAAAGAGCTACGGCAAAGTTCAATATCCCTTTGCCTTTATCCCTAGCCACTGAAAAAACGGACTTATCTTATCAGCAATAAAATAAGGGCTGAGTCAGGTCTGAAATTTTGATTATTATGATAGTGAATTCCAGTGCAGATACCAAAACAATAATTTTTCCAATTCCTTACTTTGACAAATATAAACAATTGATTGAATAATTAGTTGGTAACTGTAAATGACCCATGCCTGAATAAAATATTCTGAAATTGGCAAAATATTACTTTAACCCAGGGACTATCTGATCAAAAAATGTTCACAAAGGATTGCAAATCTCATCTGTAGTTTGATGCCAGCTTTTAACATTTGACAATTTTTGACACTCAGTGCTACAACTAAAACCCATTTTTTAAAAAGGGATTCCTTTAATTTTGTTATGAAAAAATTGTGAGTACAATATGTAATGACCATGTCATTTTAACTGCAATTTCTTTATAATCATTGGCAAACATGTACAATAATATATCTCCAATAACCTAACACTGGCTGATACGTCAGCTCGTCCTGTTTGAGAAAAGTATTGAGGTTCAATGGCCAGACAATGCAGATTTTTGCCACAGTCATACAAAGAGCAAAGCCTGAAATAACCACAGTCAGACATGAAGTGCCCTTACTGACTAGACATGGCATTGACCTGACAGGCTCCTTAAACTCACTGGGGTCACTTTTCTTCACAAACACCAACACATCCGCAGCCCTGGCCTAGTAAAGATTACACTATAACACAAGTGAATGGAAGCCAGCTACCACATCACTTCATGTACCATACGGAAAACACTATAAAAAAAACTCTGTGTGGTCAGTATTGTCCAGACCTAGTGGGGCTGTACTGGGATCAGATTCTTTATGTCCCAGACATAGCAGTCCACACATGACTGTAGACATAACTAGCAAACACATGGGGTTTCAAGCAGCTATGTCAACCATGCTTGGCACTCAGTGTTGGGTTAGTGTTGTGTTAGGGTGGACACCTCACCCCGACACATGGCAGGCTATGTTGTCCTGACCGTACAGACACACGGGAGGGTTTTGACGTTGTTCACTACTGTTGTGACTGACTCTCTGGATACAGGAATGCTGCTAACCTATATTTACACCTTGTAGTTGAGTAGTTTTTACCTTTGCTATGATTACAGATAGCTATATAGATAGGCATTAATAAGACTAATGTTTGACTGAGGTATACCGAGGCAAATAAATTGTTTATGCTATGATTTGCATGTATAACAAAGGGAATTACGCTCATAAAAGCCAATCATATCTGCATATCCATTTAATAAAGAGCCGTCATGCTCATTTCAGTCCTATAGAAACACCATTTGTTTTATTTCATACAGAATTTAAAGCTGCATACCTTGACAACACAGAACAATAAAATAAATGGAAGTAAATCACGGACAAGGACAAATTCCTGTCCTTTAGGTAATCTGATATGTCATCTTCAATAATGTCAAGAGATCTAGCCTTAGCTGCTGTACGTCTCTCTCTTAGTCTCTCTCTCTCCCCCTTTGTCCCTCTCTCACATAAACACTTACACAGACAAACAGATTCATAAACACATTGACATCACTACAAACACACACATGGGACACATGTCCTGTGAAGCACTCCAATGCACCAGTTGAAATAGCCTCAGTGAGTCTGCAGCAGCAAGAAGACAGTAGAGAAAGGAAACCAACAATATGTAAGAGACTGGCATGTGGATTTGTAACCAGTGTGGGGTAATATACTGCATATATACTTCCTTATTCATAATACACTAATTAGTAGCATCAAAAAATTGATCATTAACATGTGAAAGCTAAAAAAAAGGCCACCCAACAATCCATTTCCTGTAGTTTAACAAGCCAAAAAGAAGTAAACCATGTGTTTAACACTAAACCACTATTATATGGCAAAGAGCTGAAATGATTAGTTAATCGATTAGTTGACTGTCAGAAAATGAATCAACAATTTTGAACTTTTAACAATTTATGTCATTTTTTTCTAGTACAAATGCTAATTATCTGCTGTTTCTTGCTTCTCAAAATGTCAGGATTTGCTGATCACGGTTTTATATCATTACACATTCAATATCTTTTGGTTTTAGACAGTTGGACATACAAATCAAGCAACCTGAAGACATCATCTTAGACTTAAGGAAGTTGTGATGGTAAATTTTCACTACTGATTAACATTTATTATTTTAGAAAATGTTTAACACAAAGAAATCACCTACCATTCCACATCCTGTAGCTTAACGCCCTACACCATGTGTTTAACAGCAGCAGAATAACCCATATTCCCTGCTGAAGCCACCACATAGTTTACACTTACATATGCTTGTACTGATGCATGCTTCAGGGTGACTTAAACACAGCTGATGGTGTTTTTAAGTGTTCAAAGCAGCCTTTCCACAGCATTCTTACTGGAACTTAGTTTTGACACAATATACAGTAAGTTAGCTTACATTACTACAAGATTACGATAGTTCTTTATCAAAACACTTGTTTTTAACACGTAGCCTGGGAAATTAGTTTACACCTTCATGCAAATGTGGCTAAATTTGAAACCCCAGTCTGATACTGGGAGTAAAAGGAAGAAAAAAAAAGTTTGAAGCTGCCAAGTAGATACATTGTTGAGTTGGTGACCGTTTGGCTCTACTTCCTTACAACAGTGGCCATGCACACTGTTACGAGTGAAAATACAGACAAACAAACTTTTCATTTAGCATGTTATAAACGAAAACAAAAGTTTACAGTACCTTTTTCTTTCACTGCAGCCCCCTCTCTCTCTATCTCTGTCTCCTCCTGTGTACTCTCTCTGCCTGCCTTCGGTCTGCTCGGCCTGGCGTCAGTGAGTCGCGGAGCCGTCTCACCCTCCGCTGAGCGCCAGTATCACGCCGCGGGATGCAGTCCCGACAATAACAAGACCTACTTTTCACACGTCTAATATCTTCATTCACCGTGTGGAAATGGATTATGTAACTGTGGAACAATGCGTTTTTCTCTCGCTAATTTAGAAGGAGAGTTTCTTTTCAGATGTCTGAGTTTGTTGCTGCAAAAACTGCTGGTTGCAGTGGGGTGAAATGTTGCTTGTTTGAGAGAAGGAAAGGAGAAAAGGGGGGTCTCTTCACTTCAGAGGTTCCATGCAAAGTATGGACCCTCAACCCTCTTCAAATACAACAAAATCATCTTAAATAGTACAAAACATTAATTAGCCTGCTAGACAATCAGTCTCAAACACAGGCTATGTAACTTCAAACTGTGAAATGGCCCATTTAGAAACATTCAGTCATTCTTCTCTATTCTTACTAAATTTAAGAGTTCTTCAAACTTTGGACAGTAAGCTCTTACAGTAGTTTAAACTGAAAAAACAACTCTGAGGTTTAGGCTTATCTGTTGTGAACCCCTGGACTGCACCACATTTAGCCTTTCTCTCAGTTCCAGCTTTGCTTTGATTGTGATATGATAAGCACTATTTATGTTGTCAAGAGAACAAAAGTGTCCAAGAACAGCGTAAGCACAGGAACATGCTTATACATGCCATCATTTCAACTTCCCACCTCAAGACAGTAACGCACATACACACAACCAGCTCAGACATGACACAGGTCTTTCCTGTGGTGGGTATATGGAGGCATAATTTTGCAATGTCAAGAGTGAAACTTCCAACAGGTCTTCAGACCATCTCATCAATAATGCATGATAATGCATGAAAATAGCAGTCAGGCAGTGCAGCAGTGGCAGCAGAGGACATGAAGTGTCATTTACAAGTGCGCTAAATCTGTCCATTGTGACACATTTAAGAAGAATTCAAAATAGTTTGTGATGTAATAGGTTATATTTTATCTGATCAAGACAGAGACAAAAATGTGAATTCTCCATCACAAAAAGGAGAATGTCAGAACACAAGAATAACTACATTAACTACATTAAAATGTCAAGCAGTCCTTATAGATAAAAATACACTTCCACAGAAAATAAAATAGTTAAAATGCTATACAAGCATGGCTGCAAGCCTGCAACTAATGATTGGTTTCATGATTGATTAATCTGACAATTATTTCCTTGATTGTTGCTTGATGTCAGAAAATAGTGAAAAAGTTATAATTTCTTAAAGTCCATGGTGACTTAATTGCGATTAATAATCTAAAACCTAAAGATCTTCACTTCATAATCATGTATAACACAGAAAGACATTAAAATCTCACATTGAGAAGCTGGAAGAGTGGAGCAAATTCTTTTGGCATTTTTTCTTTAAAAATAATAACAAAACGATTATTATCGATACAGCTGCTATTTAATTAACCAGGCTCTACAAATACAATATAGCATCTTAAAAAATACCATAAAGTAGCCTACTCACGAACATTCACTACAGGCGTTTCTTATGGTAAATAGGCTTTAACAGGAATATTATTACTTATGTGCATGAGCTTAAATATGCGGTAATTACTTAACATTAACAAAGAAACATGGCATCAAATAATAAAATTTTCATTTAAAAAAATCCTCAAAGTCTTTTCACTATTTAGCGAGTTAATCAGTCAAGTTCAGGGTTGCCGCGGTGAGGGGGACTAGATTATCTTGAGTTCAGGCGGAGGGAAACCGTTTAGAGCGGAGGAGGCTCCTGGCGCAGGTGACGTCACGGCGCTGGCGACAGAATGTCTGAGTAAGGCGGGAGCGAGCTGCACGTGAATAAATCTGGGAAAACAGTGCGAAGAGGGGGAGGGAGGGGCGGCGATGATGATGATGATGAGGATGGGGATGGGTAAGAATAAAAAGAAGCTCCTCTAACTTTTTTATTGTAAGGATTCCCCTCTAATACACACACACACAAACCCAGACACAAACCCAGAATAGGCAGCTGCACATTCATTAGACCACAGACAGTAGAGGGGTAGCGAGTAGTAGGTAGAGTGGCCAATAGTAGTAGAGGGGGCTCCTGAGTTTATTCAGACTATCAGGCTTTATGGTATTTTATCTAATTTTATCTCATAAATGTAATTACCCAGTGGACTGTATATAACATAGGATTACTATCAGTGGTGAAACGTAACAAAGTCAAGGCTGGATTAACAAATTGCAGTTAACTGCCCCACCTTGAGGGGCCCTAAAAGTTCCAAGTTTACTCCATATCATATGGGTCTACATAATCTGATTGAATTGAAAGTTTCTTTGAAAGTGGAACATCGACTGACAGATCCTTTATCGTACAGCCCTGAGAGAGGGGCTGTGTTAAAATCTAGTTTTAAAAACTCAATTAGGCTATTTTAGTTTATATTTCACTCACATGGTGTAGAGCTGTGTTTTAGTTCTGTCTGTCAAGTGATTTAACACACAGACCAACAGTCAAAAACCCAAAGCTAGTTGGTTAAGTTTATTATATTATACAGTACATAGAAAATATATACATAAGAGGTAAATCACTGAGAAAGTACATTGTAATACACTTTAGAGGTACTTTACTTGAGATATTTCTATTTTGTGCTACTTTATAGTTTTACTGCACAGCAAATAATCCCACTACATTTATCTGTCAGCTATAGTACCAGTTATAGTTACTTTGTAGATTACTTTGCAGAGTAAAATGCTACACACAAACATATGATCAGCTCACAAAACATTATGCATTATTATAGACCCATCTGAAGCTTTCCACTGGGGTATAAAGTGGGTTGATAAAGGATCTGCTGCTTTTTCCACCACTGTTTTCTATTATGGATATTTTGCTCAAAGGACATCCAGAACTAAGAACTGCTAAATCAGTCATGCTTTTACCCAGGACCCTTGCTAGGACACCATACAATTCTGTTGGGGTAATAATAGGCCTAAATCCTTTATTTATTTACTTTTGCCCTATACGTTAAGCCTACTAAATGCTGGAATAAGCCTATAAAATATCCACCCGTTTTTAATATTTAGCTGCATCATGTAAACTCCTGACAGTTTACTAAAGCCCCATAATTCCTAGAAAAAAAGGTAAGACCTCAGTGTACTTAGTGGTAGCTGTAGCACTGCTTATAATGTTGTATCTTGCTATATAAACTGTAATAGTCAGATTAAACTGTTGCTCCTTTTTCTGTTACACCCCAAATCCCCTGAAACTAAATTTGATTACTTGACATGAGTGTGTCTGCTATTCTGTCTATACAGCATATACAGCAGGCACAATGCAAATATTTGCATTTTCAAAGTGGATAAGATGAACTAAATTCCATTTCACATCACACAAACTTACTAATGGAGTTGCTTGGATCTGGTTTATGTGACCACTAAAGATGAATTACCTTTGCCTATTTACCTTGCTCATGTAGTTATTATTATATCAGAGGCAAGGAAGGTACCCGAATGTTTATAAAAAAGGGTCCTTCTTTCTCGTAATGGCTATATCAGATGATACCATACTAGTTGCATCTCACTGTGATTATTCATACACAATATTGCTATCCTGATAAAGGTGACAGTAATAACACAAATTATGTGCTCATACATATTCTGACCAGACACAAGGAGGCTTCTGTTATTTCCTATCCTTAGATTGGCCTCGCTCTAGTAGTAAGACGTGAATGTGGATGCATTTAGATGATAATCCCCATTGTTGAGCCATCACACAGCAAGACTCAAACCACTTATGGGAAAGAAAATGCCAACAGAGAGGTCAGCTCCTTCCCATCTCTCTGCTGTCTAACACTCTCAATTTTAGTACATGTCACTTCATAAGCCAACCTTAGGCCACCTGTAGCTGAAACAGATAAGTACCCTGTGAATCTAAAGCCATGAGAAGGCATGGGGAGATGTAACAGATATCTTCATCACAACCATGTGATTTCTATTTCGGTATTTCAGTATCTAAAATGTTGCTTAAAACATTACAAGAATGTAGAAGACTTCAGCCTGGATTCAACTTCCAAACTGAGGGATGTCCAGGTGTGGTGTGGTTCTGCTGCAGCTTGCAGGCATGAAGCTATGCTAGCTGCTTGGTTTCGGTTCTGGTTCTTCTTCTGCTTCCCTTCCACCCCTAGATATCTCCCAGGAAAGGCTAGGTCAGTCCCCAGGAAAAGACAATGTCCATCTCTGGACAGGAAGGTTACAGGCTCACAAACCTCAGGCAAATTGCTTGGTGTGCAGACTGAAGGCTAGCATGCTGATAGCTAGCAGACTCTAGACTAGCCTACTAGAGGACAGGCTTGCAGCTAAAAGGCTGTGGAACTGGTTGGTGGCTAGCATGCCGAGGACAGCTGGCTGGGAATCAGCAGTGTTGAGAAAATCCTGAAGCCAGTCAGGTTACTTGGAAACTTACCGGCGTGCCAACCTCAAAACAAGATCTTGTGTACCTTACAAGGGGCTCAGCCTCCACACCCATACCAGCACACAAGGGAGTATTAAAGATCATAAAGTACTTCCTCAAATAAGTCTGCTGGGTCTATGGTTGGTCAGTGACAAAATTAGAAATAAAATTAAAAAATTAAATAAATATAAAGATAAATATAAAGGGGTGGGGACACTAGTCTCTTTACAACTTTTGATCCATTCTTTTCAGATCAGCCGAACACGAGCCATCTCTTTTCTTATATTCAGTCTTAGCGTAGTTGTTTTTCCATTGAATATTTTTCCTCTATGGTAAATGGTAAATGGACTTGCACTCATATAGTGTTTTTCTACTCTTACTGACCACTCAAATCGCTTTACAATACTTGCCACATTCACCCATTCACTCACATTCATACAATGATGGAACAGCCATCAGGGGCAATGTGGGGTTCAGTATCTTGCCCAAGAATAAGACAAAGTAAGTAAGAC